GGGTGTGGGGGGGGGGGGGGGTAATCTTTCTGCAACAACTTTTGTTCTACTGGCACAGGAACCAGGCTAAAAAGGATTAAAGGGGCCTAACAAGCATTTATGTCTTATTGAAAGATTTTTAAAACCTCCAGTTTCTCTTTCTAATCACAAATTTACCTAAAGCGCTGATGAAATCTACAATTCATAGTTAGGATTAGCAATTTCAATGCCTTCCATACATATTTTTTTTTTTTACTCAAAATATCTAGTCAGCAGACAGTAATTGTAAAAGGCAACAATCTACAATATTTTGGTACCACACACACTATTTAGGAAAGAAACTACCCATGACTGAACTGTAATAAGTTTAATGTATTTGATTAATGTTTTCAATCCTTGCAGACCATGAAACGAACCTGTTCCCATGCAGCGATCACTTATAAGACACATGGTACATAAGACATTTACAAAATTGGGCTTCATCCCTAAAAATATTGGGACAGTAATGTTCTAAAAGCTTATATCCTATGAAAGTTCACAGTCAACACTTTAAGCTTGATGTAAATAAATCTAATATGCATCTCGTAAGACAAGCATTTCCAGTGGTGTTACCTCACCCTTTGTAATTCCCACTTTTCTATAAGATGCTCCACTTCACCTCCAAGAACTGCTGTGTTACTGTCGTCCAACAGCAAGAATCCATTTCTCACTTCAACAATCCCTGAAAGCTTAATTTTTGTTCCAGGTGGAGTGTTCAGGCTAGAAGCAGAAAAAAATTGAAGTATTTCAAATATCCCTATTAATATTCTGCAATGAAAAACATGTAAAACTCTACTCTTAGTATACTTCCAACACTGTCACATTTCATAGTAAAAATTTAGCATCAAAAACTTGCAATAATTTCTTCAGTATGCAGAGTATTTTGCAGTAGCTTTACTGGAATGCTTCCCATTCATTACACAAAATGCCATATTGCAAATTAGATTCTAACAGAGATGAATGTTTGCAAATTGTCTGTTTGGTTAAAATCCAATTTAACAATCCTAAAATAAGGATGTGATTTATTTAGACTAACAGAAATGTCTCAAAATCAGTTGTCTAAGAGTAAGTTCCTCATCCTAGGATACATTTATAGTTAATAAATAGAAGATTTCCAGATGGTTAATCATCTCATTTGTTTTAGACATTTAACTTCAGAGAAAACAAAGAGCTGTTGGAAAAGAAGCTTTCTATACATTACTAACATCCAGGAATGCACCAGAATAAATACGAAAAATATGCATCTCGTCGTGCTGCTTCTCACATTATTCTATCATTTGAAAACACATGGATCTTCTCCGTGGTCTGCTCCTACAAGGAGGTACCTACCTGCTTTTCATGTCAACCGACCCTACGAAGAACAACAGCAGATGCATAGGAGACTCACGAACCTCCAACTGGTAATTGAAAGATATAACAAGCAGCACAATCTGGAAACTATGGTTTTTCTTGTGAGAAACAGGTGACAGTCGGTTGTAACCTTTCAACCCAGAGGCATTAACCTCTTCAAAACATGCTGAAGCTTACTGCTGCAATCACAGGTCCATAGCACATGGGGAGGACATTAACAGTGGAGTCAGTCAGTTTCAGCACTAGTGGCATTAGCCTTAGTAACAATAATGGACTTTCAGTACTGTTCTGATAAAAGCAAATAAAATGAGATCAGGAAAAATAGACAAGAAATATGGAGGGAAAAAAAAGAAAATTATGCCAAGGCAGGGAGTGGTAACTGGAAACCCTAGTCACGAAGGGCTTCTAATATAAAAGGAAACTGTGAGGTTTATTTATTTATTTAAAGGAACGCTAAGTATTGAAACATCGTATTATTCCAGGTTAGTCATTCAATTTCAAAACTGAAACAACCATACACAACATAAATAAAATTTTCATACGTTACTTGAAAAGAAGAGCTCACATCATTATTGCAGAGTGACAAGTTCTTCGATGTTTCTGAGACTCTACCTAAAAAGCTTTCAAATTATGTGTTCTACTGAGTGACTTCTTTAACTAGTTTGTGATCTAGAATCTTATATAGGAGCCTGTTTGCGTTCCTTTTCTGCTCTCTTTATATTCAGATTGAAATATGATTTTCCAAGTTCTGCTGGACCAAGATAAAATTAAAACATCATTAAGTGTTCCACCTTTTAAGACAGCATCGCTCCAAACCGCAAGCTGGCTCCTGCTCAGAAGGAGCAGTTTAATAGTAAATGATAACATTTCAAGATGAATTATAAAAGGTCTACATTAACTTTTGCAGCTAGCAAAGAAAGAGAGAGGGGAATGAATGTGGGGTTTTTTTTAATCAAAGCAGTCTGAACTAATGAACAGCAAAGCACACTGTGACTCTAGAGACTAAACACTAGAAATCCATTTCAACATCTTCATAACCAAGCACACAAAAAAATCCCTATGTTTAACAGTAATTAGCTTTCTTACCCTTCATGATTAACTGAATAAAAATATTTACTATTTCAGTCCAAGTTAAAGCCCTGCCCATGGTAAATCAGCACTAGTTGCGTTAAGGCAGGCGTGTCAGGCCTGTGACATTCCCCCTACAAAGACAGACAAAAAACTGCTACTACTAAAACCTGGGAATTTGGCTCAAGTTTGCACACTCAGCTGCGTGCCATGTCAACCCCGACTCAGCAGATGGCTGTAAAAATCCACTTTGTTCCATTACGTACATCAGCATAAAGGGTACTGAAAATTGCATTCATATATACCTTTGCCTGCTGAATTTAAGGTTCTTCTTTACATTCAACATTTGAGAAGGAAACCTGTTTTGTCAAGCAATTTTTCCATATCTCACTAAGCACACTTCCATTACTTTAAGGATACTTAAGCGTCAAAGCAAAAACTTGGAAAATAAAGCTGTTCACCTTATTTTTGACATGCTGCTGTATTCTATAGCTGTGCAGCTTGTGTGTCCATCGGTCATCTGTAAACGTAACATTCTGGGAGCAGCCTGAGATTCTTCATTATCCTTTGGTGCAGCAACATTGCGTATTTTCTGTATTTGCAGAACGCATGGCCCTTCCAGCTACATATGCAAACCAGAAAAGACAAAGCTTAACACCAGGAATCAAATGCCTTGTAACAGACACACTAACAGACACCCCCAGGCCAAAGAAAGTGTAATTTGATCAGTCATGTTCAACTACTTTCACTCATGTACGGTATGTTCTAAAAGCACGATAAAAACATCTTTTTCAGTAAAACAGTTGCGATGCTTCACACATCTCTGCAATGCCAATTATGGAAAACGAACATGGAAAAGTTTCATGAATGAGAAGAGTTGGGGTGGGTGGGCAAACAAACAAAACCACAAATATTGTCGCTTCCAACACCGTATGGAGCGCAGATAAAATTTCATACACTGTACTGCGGGGTCTCATTGACAGTCTTCTAAAGAAAGAAACAAACAGCTCTGAATACAATTTGGTTGTATCAAGAGTCCATTTGAAGTGCAACCACTCTGTAAACACTAGCTAAAAACACAGCTTCTTCAAACACAGGTACAATCGGAACGTCACAACCTCAAGGGGCATCACTGTGTCAGTTACGCATTTCAGTTAGAGCTGTGTATACAGTCATATCTGATCCCTCTGAGAAATAAAAAATGAATACACTGTTGCCCCTCAACTAATCTGTAGAACCTAAGAGGCAGCAGAAAAGATGAAAAAGTGCACACTTCATCAGCTTCTTCCCTTTGAGAAACAGAATAGGTAGCCCAGAATATAAAGTGAAAGCAGGTAAGTCAGAGGTAACAATATACAAAGAAAGAGAAACCTGCGTTGTTTATGACTTCAAAACAAACAATGGAAAATACAGTATTTGGGACAGAGGATTTCTCAAAAGGCAAAGAAGTTGTTTATTTGGAATTTACTGAAACTTCAAGCTTTCTGATCTTTTTTCCAAACATTCAATACTGAAAAAAAAGCAAGCATAAAATAAGAACAACCATATTTTTAGTAAATGGTGACTGAACCTTATTTCTTTCATTAACAATTAAAAGACCAATTATGCTTGTCATACAAATGGAAATGTTTTTCCCTTTATTTCCAACAGAGGCAAAACTGGATAATCTCATGTACAGTATGAAAACAAGTCCCCTCCTCTATCAGTTAACTACAGCAAAGCAGTCACCAAAAAACAAACAAACAAACAAACTCCTCTATAGTACAGAAGGATTCTGTCTGTAACAGTGAATGAACCACAGTGTCACACGCATGGGTGTCGTAACATTAACGCTAACAGTTTGTAATGGTACACAGTATTTTCAAAGTAAAAGGTGAAGAAACACTAGGCAACAGTGAAGCAGAGAAACAGAGAAGCATTGCTAGCTAACCACAACTAGGTTTGTCACTCAGAAGAGTAGCTTTACTGTGACAGGAATTTCTTTCACAATTTTGAGCAAATTCTACTTAGAGGTACTTGCTTCTAGTTTTAAACAATTGTTAATAAAGTCCCTTAAAAAATCCAGAGTGCAAAGAAATGAGGGCTAGGCTAACTGTGAATATGTATGCCAATATGCTCAGGGTTTTGTCTACGGTGTCAAGCACACATCACAACAAAGCAGGGCTGCACATTTGTTGAGCTTGGACAACAGTGTCTGCTTCCTTAACAAATAAAGTACATGTTGCTTTAAAAAACAGGAGCAAAAGAGGAATAGAAGCGTGTAGTTTTCTCAAATATACACCACATTAACACCACAATTATTTTCACAGACTTAATCAGGACCTTAGAGCACCCATGCCTCCCCGTCCCAGCACATTTCCCATCTCATCACACAGAACAAGCACATAGTGACAGGAGGAAAGAAAGAAGTCAGTCTTCCTTCAGAAGAAGGGCAATCATCACAGGATTCCAGATAAATCCAGAAGACCTATGCCAGCAGTCCTTATATGGGCTATTTCAAAGTGTCATTATGAGAACCAAGACAGGAAAAAAAAATACATAAAAATACATAAAATCAGATTAGTTATGGCCATTATTTACTCTTATACATTTAAACAATCTGAAACCTCTTCAGCATGCAGATGTTGAATGTCACATACCAAAAGGTGAGGCAATTTTTGTTTATCCAACACAAGTTCCAGTAAATTATCAAGTATCCTAAGCCCTAGGACTGATTATATCCCCACTGTCAAGGTTGCAAGTCACTTTCCAATACAAAAACACAGCATCTAGTTCCCTTACTAACACTGTACACTTCGTATAGTAAAAGTGAATATACTGGACAACTTCTACATCACCTCAGGTTGCACCCCCAGGAAAGGGATGAAAGAGAAGACATTTCAAATCACCAGCTAAATCAATTTAATTATTTCTATGACTATGGCTATTCAGCATACAAGACACATGAGCGGAAGGAAAAGTGAAAAATGAAATACACAGACAGCTTAAAAACAGCCCATAATGGCAATGGTAGTGAAGTCCAGAAGTCTTAAAATACTGGCTAATAGGCCATTGAAGTGTAACTCAATGGCTCATCAAGTCTAACCTTTCCATGGATCTCAAGGAAAAGACCAAACACTACAGGATGGACACCAAGGTTGGACACAAAGGGCTACAAATGTGATAAAGGCACTGGAACACCTCTCCTGTGAGGAAAGACTGAAAGAACTGGGACTGCACAGCCTGGAGAACGACAACGGGCACCAAGTGAAACACAGGAGCCTCCACCCCAGCATCAGAAAACACTTCTTCACTGTGAAGGTGATTGAGCACTAGAACAGGCTGCCCAGTGTGGTTTTGGAGTCTACATCTTAAAGGACACTGAAAAGCTGTCTGGATATGGTGTTGGCACCCAGCTTTCGGTGGCTCTGCTTGGGCACAGGGATTGGACCAGATGACCTCAGCAGGTGCCTTCCAACTTCAACCTCTCTGTGATCCTGTGACTGCTTTCTTACATACAGTCCCATACTATTATTTAGGTAATGCCTTCAGTCCAAATAGTACAGTCGTACCTTGCTCTCTCCAGAAGAATTTACAAACTGGACAAGCATCTGGACACATGTTAAGGCTAGAATGCTATACAGAGCAGCTCAGATTACTTTTAATTTAAAAAAAAAAAAAATAGAAGCAAGTAGAAAAATAATTAAATCACAATTTATGTGCCATAGTAGTATAAACAGCTTTCAGTGATTAGAGTCTAAGGGATGCAAATAAATTAACAGTACAGAACATAAGCAAAATGAGTTAAGGAATGACGACTAGTTTTATCCATCATTAATCCCATAACTAATGGTCTGCTTACTTCTTCCAGATGAAAAACATAATTAATAAATTCTTAAACTATGCGATGCCATCATATTTATACTGTAGTTTTTAAGTTAATGAAAGGGAAAACTACTGTGTAAGTCAATCTGAAATGTCAAACAGCAGATAGAGTTATAAGAGGAATGAACAGAAATGGAAGTCTAATAAAAAGTCATTGAGACATGCCACATTTCACTCCTTCCTCTTTATTCACAAAACCTATCTGTGCTAATTCAAGAAAACATATGATTCTTAGAAAGGGGGGAAAAAAAAGACAAAACCAAACAAAAACCCCAAAGTTACCAAATATTCACACTATCCTACATAAGAATATACGTCATAGTTTACATCAATTAAAACATCATTTACTCAGCTTTAGTTAGTTTATAGGCTTTTTCAATAAGAAGAAACGTAATCTTCTTACATCACATTGTGGGGACTCACTGATCAACAGTTGGAAATACTATATCTACAACAAATCAGTAGCCTTTCCAGCAAATCCTCAAAGTCAGTAAAACTATTTTGTATTGGTGCTCTCCTAACAGCGCGTAGACCTGCCTCAGCGTCTCCCAGTTAAGATATTACTGCTCATAAATAGGGATTAAACTACTACTGTCATACTTGGAAAGAGAGGGGATGCTCCAGACCAAGCTATGGTGATAAAGTATCTAGAAGCATACTCACTTGCCAGTTTGATCAAGGTAGAAAATAATGTTCTAATAAATCAATTCATCCAGATGCCCAAGTTACAGAAATTTCCAAGAATGCCCAATAGCTGGCTAATAATTTTCAATAACTTTTTCAATACAGCAACTAGGCTATACGCTACTCTTTTCACGACTGCTACTGCACTTTCCAGAAGCATTGCTTTAACACACTGAAACTGGTCTGAGAAGAAAAACTACTCAGCTTCTCCCAAAGATTTAGCTTATATCTAACACTGTATGCTTTTTCTCAAAAATATGTAAGTAATCATGCCTTTTTAAGAGCCCCTGAAACAACCATTAGGAGCGAAGAACACAATCAAAACACTGATCGAGGTGAAGAGTTCAATGCCCACAGCTTACCTGAGGCTGCCAAACGGGTGTTTCAAAAAGACTAAGACTCGGTTTGAGCTGTCAGAATTACTGCACACAGTCTTGTTAAAATCATCTCAATTGTAAGAAGCCTCAAACAACTATAATCTGACACATGCACTTATGCTGGGAGATTTGATGTAGCAATCACTCTCATTGGTAGGTAAGAACAAGCACCCCAAGACTGGAGGGATTTTTTTTTTTTTTTTTTTTAAAGTGATCCGTTTTAACCGGAAGAACTAAATTGATCCTCCTTTAAAAAAAAAAAAAAAAAAAAAAAGGCAAGCCTGTAGGAAACAATATCCACAATCCAAGAGAGAGTAAAAGGCAACAATGCATAGAACCACAGAATCACAGACTGGTTTGGGTTGGAAGGGACCTTAAAGACCATCTAGTTCCAACCCCCCTGCCATGGGCAGGGACACCTTCCACTAGATCAGGTTGCTCAAAGCCACATCCAGCCTGGCCTTGAACACTTCCAGGGATGGGGCATCCACAACATCTCTGGGCAACCCGTTAGTTGCTGTATAGTTAACTGTATTAATGTAATGAGACAGAAATTGGGAAGCATATGAATAACCTCAAACAGCAGTTAGAAGTGCTGGGAACTTGCATTCTACCGGCTTCCCATCGATCTACCTGTACTCAGAAAGCACCTCTCCAAGTTCAGAAATTAAAATCCCTTCTGAATGGTTCCTCTGGAATGAATGTTTCCATTGTAATGAAACAAATACTCAAAAGAAACCCACTTGTGTCCTAACTGTAACATCATTACTGAATTACATGTTATAACTTTGTAGTCTTCTCTGCATTTTTATTCCCTTAAAAATACTTCAGGTGTATTTATGGTATAGAGTGATCTAGATGGAAATGGGAAGGTTCAGCTTTTTAAAATCCTATGCAAATGTGGCCATCTTGTGGCTAATGCTGGTAATACTGATTTTTTTTTTGTATATAAAACAAAGTCACGAGCAAATAAAACATTTCTGTATATTAATGAATAAAGCTGACAATCACCTGCCATGGCCAAATACACACGTTTCAAATCAGGACTCTATGCCAGCTTTTATGCAAATATTTGCCTATTACACTAATACTACAAAATAAAGTTATTTCCTTTGCAAGACTGAAATACATCAGGTATTCTCAAGACACAGATAAACAATACTTATCCTAGCCTTGGATGAGAGTAACAGTAGTAGTTCCTATAGTAATAGTAATTACTATATATATATAGTACTATATAATTACTTTATAATTACTATATATAGTATAGTAATAGAATTAAAATAGTAATTTCTGTAGTATCCTGAAGCATTTCTGAACCACAAATGACTACCTTCTACGAAGAGATTACATTAAGAAGTCACTCCTGTCCCAACCGTACCCTTCGCTCAAATTTGCTTTTGCACAAAGCAAATACTCTCCTTTATAAACAGAGTTCTGTAACATAAAATACTGGTATACACTGCAAGCTAAATAGCAGCATTTATTAAGCAGTGAAGTTTGTTTTATGTTACTCAAACAACAAGGAAATACTGCAGTTTAAGAAAGCAAAGAGCACACTAACAGTCTGGGCTAAAAACGATAAAACGGAAGTCATTCTCAAACACAGACTTTTCCTGTGCAATCATTACTTCTTTTCAAAACCATGAGTATTATCTTCCTCCAGCAAATGGTTTGCAGGTGTTTGCTTTGTTTTGGGTTATTTTAGAATAATGTTTTTAATTCTGTGATCTCAGTAGAGACAGTTGATTAAAGTAAATCCAAACTAAATCCAAACTACATTTTCCTAGAAGTTCACACATACATACCCTGACCCTTACCAATAGATAGAAGTATTTAAGTCCCTAGGATTTAACAAATACCATTTGTTAAACAAACATCTGTCTTCAACAAAGACTCTTAGGGGCCATAGTTTTCTTCTGTCCTGCCTGTTTTCTTCACCACCTCTGTGCTGTTGTTGTCAGAAGTCATTACCTAAGAGAACAAAAATACCCATTTCCTCTGTATTGTCACCCTTTACCTATTAAAAATGGAAGGAGACTATAAGCACTGATTCCTCTCAACTATCTGATAATCTGGGAAACAGAAATACTTTGAATCAAACAAACGTTCCAAAATAAAGTTTGAATTGGACTGGATTCCTGTAGGATTCAACCCTATTATCCAGTCCTTCATCTCCATCAACTGTAAGTCAACCCCATGCAGAAACACAGCACTCGAGGTGCGGCCTCACCAGTGCCCAGTACAGGGGGACAGTCACTGCCCCAGGCCTGCTGGCCACACTGTTCCTGACACAGGCCAGGATGCTGCTGGCGTTCTTGGCCACCTGGGCACACTGCTAGCTCATAATCAGCCAGCGGTCAACCAACACCCCCAGGTCCTTTTCTGCCTGACAGCTTTTCAGCCACTCATCCCCAAGCCTGTAGAGTTCCATGGGTTTCATTTTTTTAATGAAAATTAAACCAGATTTTTCTCACATCTTCCACCTTCTAATTTTCCAAGATGTTCAGTTTTACAGAATACGGATACACTTTGTGTGTACAGGTGCAGAAGTGTTTTTCCCCATTAGAGAGCTGTTATCTCACAGGTATTTCAAAGCACGAACCCCCACAGTTTTCAATCACTCACCCCTGTTTCTGTGCAGAGGTTTTGTATTTTGTGGAAACAAATGGCACAATTGCACATCAGTTTCAGCTAAGAAACATGAAAAAGCCAAGTAGTGACTTCAGCAGCTAAACTAGAAGTAAACATTTTAAAGCACGTAAGTAGATTCTCATATATAACATGCATCAAAGCTGAGGAAATTAATGGCGCTTTTACCTTTAATTGATCACCTGAACTATGTAATGACAACAGAAATTTAGAAAACATTGTCTCTAAAGGAAATGGACAAGTTACTAGGTATATTCTCAAGCGAAGAATGAAAAGTGAACAACTACCTCTAAAGAAATCCTACCATAATGCAACAAAACATTTGAAAATAGTACTGTTAAAGTAAATTTGAACTGAAAACATGTTTCAACAGCAAAACTAAATAACGTAAGCCTGACCACACATACCGCCTTAACACTCTGGAGAACGTCAGTTTACTAAATACATTTGGACCTTGTGAGTATTACATAACCTAAAATTCAAAATTCAGCAATAGTCCAATTAAGCAACTGAGAAATGAACAGTGCAAAAAGACATGCCATAAAAAGCAATTATTTTGCTTGCTTTCCATATTTCAAAAATAGGATACTAAAAAAGAAAAATATTAAAATCACAGATGTAAGGAACAGCTAAATCAAATTCTTTTAGTTGGTAAAAAATTATTTAAGCACTGAAGTATCTTGACCAGCATGCTATCCAGAAACCAAAATGTGTAAACAATCACTTTCATAAAATATCACTATGGTTATTTTTTCTTTTTTCTGAAAAGTAAAACCTAAAAAAACATAGCTCCACATAATAAGAAGTTAATAAAACTTTTCCCAGAAAGTTAGTTTAATATGGTGCATGCACAGACTGCTGCCTGGCTAAAAACGATGATTCTGCAATACACTCGCTCTCAAGTGGGCTTTTCATATCTGACAATAATGTTCCTGCTGCTGTTCTTGTAGAAGCCAGTGTTTACAGCAGTTACCACTCCATGCAGGCAACAGTATCAGCAGAAAAAACAAAGCCGAACGGCTTTAACAAACTCTCCTCAAACGTGCTTTCTTAAAACAAACCCACCTTGCTTTATCACTATTTGGATTTCAACAGTAATGACAGTATTTCTAATGAACTGAGAACAACTACTAGGTTTAAAATAAAATTCCTTCATCTATCCACTCTTTTAACTGCATGTAAGCAAGCAAACAGGAAGGGTATACTGAAGGGGACATATCAATGTTTTATCTAAACACACAGCATATGTTAATAATCAAGAATACCCAAATTTCAAGTATAATACTATTTTGCAGCATATAAAGCGTTATGCCATCTAACTTGTTTTATCCACACCACCTATCGGATACACAGTCACAGGAAAATTCCATAAAACGTATAGCTATGATTATGAGTATCAGGAAGTCACGTAATACAGTGTCAACACGTATCACACTATCATGATCATACAGCTTCTTTGCCTTATCCTTAACCTGCTCTGTTGCCCTCACAAGAAAACAGGAGGGGAAAAAATGAATTTCTGATACCATGACAAGATCAAACAAGATAAATTACTTCTGAGAAATATATTAGGCTTCTAGGATTACTCATTTTTATCTAAGTTTTTCAAAGTTGAGAAATAAAAGAGTCCTTTCCTTATGAAGCCTAGTGGACAAACTAATATGTTCACATAATTATCCTATAATATATTCAAATATTTGGTTCTTTTTCATGTGAAATAATGACAAAACCAGATTAATGCACCTCAGAAGGCTTTCATCACACAGAAGTCACAGAACACTGAAAAAGTGAAATAAAAACATTGTCTACCTTTTCCACCTTTCCACCATTGATGTCACTGGGGAGGAATTTCTTGCCAATCGTTCTTAAATCTGTCTGAAATTAACAGAGAAAACAAGAAAGTATTAACCAAAATATCCTGTTTCAAAAAAAAAATCATAAAATAGGAAGAAGGGTATTTCTTCCTTAACAGCAACTGTTTACAGACTATAAGAACATGTCCTTCTAACTGCACAGAATGAAAAAAATCAACTACTAAATTTATAAAAGAAATAATTTGCTTTTTGAATTATATTCTTGTTTTAAGCATATTTTTGAAGACTATTAAAATGTTTTTAATAGATGAAAAGAAATTACTAAGCAAGGCTTAATTATTGGAAATAACTGACATTTAATACAGGTAAGCTTCTGTCTTAAGTCTCCATCTGGCACTTAAGAGAAAGGTGTTTTTAGTTTCTGTGTTCCTACATGTACAAATCATAGAATCATAGAAT